AATAAATAAAAAATACCAGAATTTTTTTTCTCCTCCAGATTTCATTTTCTGATTAAAAGCAAAACATGTTTAATTTATAAATGTTTCCTATTTGTTCCCTAACCTATGCTTTTGTTAAATTCTAATTCATATATATATATATATATATATATATATATATATATATATATACGCATACATACATACATACACAGTCTGCCCAAAAATGTGTACACACTTCAGCAAAGGAAACACTTTAGTACAATATTTTCTCCACAAATGGCATTACATTGGTGGCCCTTAGATAAGAAATTGAAAATACATGTGCAGCAACCCCACTGGACACTTTGGCCAACCTTGCTCAAGAAGTAGTTCACCATACTGATAAATGTCTGGAAGGTAAAAGCCACTATTTTGAGTATATCTTGTGATTGCAGAGTCTAAAGGTAACTTGTATTAATCTTCTGATGTCTGAATTAATTGAGTATTACAATATCTATACAAGTTTTACCTTTCCTGAAGGTGTGTATACATTTTTTTTGCAGGTTTTGTATTATATATACCATATATACTTGCGTATCCTGCGACTTTTGGAAACCTAATTTTGAAGTTAATTTTAAGAGGGTAGAATCATACATGTGATATAAAATTAGTGTATGTTCTGCTGGCCCTGGCAAACACCGTTAACCAAACTATATATCTATTTACAGTTGTATTTAAAATAAACATGATTTTGACAAAACTGATGTTTTACTTATTTGTATCCAATATTAATGCATGTAATATTCACATATTAGTATCGTATTATAAAATACAAACACAGTGCATCTTTTCTATTGTTTATGCTTATAAGATATTTAACTGTTTCTCGTTCGGTTGTTTATGGCTGTACGCATTTATGCAATGAGTATAGTGTTACTAATGAGACTTTTATCACTCCCTTTTACTTTTTAATTTATTTAACTAGAAGTTGGGATAAAGAGATAAAATAAAAGAGTTTAGTCTGTTGCAATTTGGTCTCTCAAAAAAAGGAACATGCATGATACACAAGATACATGATAAAATCATTTTTTATAAGTGAAAATTTGGGGGTTGCATGATATGTGAGATTGCGTGTTACACGAATATATATGGTATATAAGTTTACTATGTGGTGATAATGGTTGCAAAATAGCAGACACAGGTTGTAAATTTGTAATGTGGTTCTATGACGTACATGACCCTGTGAGAGAAAGAAATGTTATCAAGAGAACCATATGTTTAAATGCAATGTAATGTGTTGTGACTGGTTTGAAATGTAATTTTGTTGAGTGTGGGTTGCTTTGTTTTAATGTAGATGGCCTCTAATATCTGAAGGCTTTTTTTACTGTTTATATGTGTGAGTATTGTTGTTTTATCAACTAATATCTGTCTAATTTTATGTACATGTCTATGTTTTTCTAAGAAATGTTGTTTAATGGAACTAAGATCAGAAAGATGACAGGTAAGTCTCTGGGAGAGTGTAGTTGTAGTAAAACCAATATATGTAGTGGGTTTATTATTATTATTACTACTACAACCATGCTATCCCATAGATGTACCTGTCTATTTTCTGATCTTAGTTGTATTAAACAACATTTCTTTGAAAAACATAGCCATGTACATAATATTAGGCAGATATTAGTTGATAACACAACAATACACACAGTAAAAAGAACCTTAAGATATTGGAAACCAACTAAATTAAAACAAAAGCAACCCACACTCAACAAAATTACATTTCAAACCAATCACAACATATTACATTGCATCTAAACATATGGTTCTGTTGATATATATACATACATATATAATTATTATTTTTATATATTTCAGAAAAAAATTCAGAATTAACACCTGCCACATATACAATAATTGTTATAAAAAGAAAGAAAAAAGTGAAATAAGACAAGAATTATAAGTTAGAAATGAGAAACAATGAATTAAGATTAGTCATGTGTATAAACAATGTTTTTGATATGCCAGGATTTTGTTTTTTAAGTGATAACCCATGCAGTATCTCCAATAACTAGGCTTTTATTTTAAAAACATTTTTTTTTACTTATAGTTTGTTTTTTCATGGTCTTGAATCCTACAGTGTGCCTCAGGTTCTTGAATAAGCAGTTGAAAAACTGAACTACTTCTTACAGGATAAAATAAACAAAAGAAACCAGCTCGACTTGAATCATTAAACATTTAATATGTGAAGGGAGCATATTTGGAAATTTATTTAAAAAAAAAAAAAAAAGGCAGAGCTCACCAAAAATAAATAAAACCAGAATTAAAACCAGAACAGGATTATCTCAATGAACAAGTGTGCAGAAATTCCAATATGAACATGTATTTGTGAAGGGTTGAGATTAGCAGGAATATCAAGAATGGCTCTGAGCAAATAATAAAGACAAATAATGTCAATGTTTGTATGATGCAGGGTTGATGATGCTGAGTGCAAATCAAAAGCCGACTTTAGAGACATAACGCAGTCACTTACAGTTAGCACGTGTAGATGCAAAAATGTGAATTCACCTACAAGTTGTTTGGACAAATCATCCACTGTTTGACAAAGGTTGCTCTTACATTAGCAGAAATATGCATACCCACACACATACAAATTCTCACTTGTGTGTGTATGCATGTGTATATATATATATATATATATATATATATATATATATATATATAGTTATCCGTTAAGTGTCCATATAAACACAATAGTAACACCGGTTTACACTTTGAAGTTGAAACTAAGCAATTTTGTGCATTAATAATACCGAATTGATAAAAAAATTATTTGTTGTTTTTAGCATTACTTTTAATCAATAAATTCTTTAGGTTTAATGTCTCAGCCAAAAATGATAGAATCAAAAATGATGAGGATATTAGTCTGAATAATTAGTGAAAGAATGATAATCTCTCAGAATTTAAGACACCTATTCAATAACAGGCTTAATCCTTTGGGATTTTCTATCTTGGAAATTCAAAAAGCCATGTGATAATCTTATGCAATAAAGGAACATGTTCTATCGCATAGTGTTGTCATCAATGGTTAGTTGTTTGCTAATACTGAAATATTTATGGTAGGAAAAAAAAAAATCAAACACCTCTGACGAGGTTGATTTCATTTGTGGCTACTGGATCATACAATTTATTAACAACATCAGAAAAACACTGGAAAATAAAGCAGAACGTTATACAGAACAATTTGCTGAGTTTTTGACAAAAAGTACAGTCACTATCCACAAGCATTGCGTTGAAGATTTTTATAAAGTAGATGAAAATGGTTTGGAAAGAGAGCGAGAAAAAAAAAAAGAAAAAAGAAAAGTTTAAATTAATTTTCTTTGAATTTTTTTTTTTTTTTTTTTGAGGTGATGGGGGGGGGATATTTCAGTCATATGTTCTCGGGCCTTCCACAGGTATTTGATGTGTTCAAGAATGTTGATTTATTCACATACGTTTTTTTGCTGGGGCCACTATCTTTCGATCTTGTGCCATATTCAGGAACACAACAGATACACAAGAAATGCTAGAGGTTACACTGACAAAACATTTTGAAAAAAAAATTAACCTGGTCAAAAAGAAATATGCATTGATTAAATGAATCTGTCTAACAAATTTCAGACAAAAAACAAAAAAATTCAGTCATAGTCTTTAAAATGGAAATGACAATAACATTCGTATAAATGCTATTTTATTAGCATTAATATTTAACAGCTAACTTTCCTTTTGTAATTTCGTTTTTAATTTTAATCAGCAATGTTTTCATCTTGGCTTTTCAGAGACATTACACTTATTTATGCTAAACTATCCGATTTGGGAAAGTGTATGAAATTGTAAATTCTTCTACAATGAGGATAATATAATAATAAAAAAATGCATTTCATATTACATACTCTAACCTTAATGGTTAAATATTCTAAGTCTTTGGACGGTATCAATGCTGCCATTATAATACTGGCAAATGTCCAAAGTTAAATTATGCGCACCTACTATTTAGAACCTGTCACTTTTATTTATTTATTTTTTTGTTTCGTTTTGTAACATTCAGTAAAACCTGTAAATAGACAATCTCGTTGAATATAAAGAGTTGCCTCCCTTGGTCCAACTTACGACAGACCATTTCTGAATAAGACATTCTAACTAAAAAGTATATAGATGAACAAAATGGAAAAAAAAAAGTGAGGCAGAATCCAACAAGAAAATATTTTGAGAGAATAAATATTCAATATTTCTATTATTTTTTTCTGTCTTTCCTAATGAATATCAACTTGCGATTATGACAAATCGGGTACAATGATACCTTATTGCATGTGATGTTCTTAAATGGCAAATGAGCAGGTAGGACTGGAAAATTTGATCAGGAGGTGGGTACAACTTTTTAAAAATTGACGCATATATATATATATATATTAATTAATGCTTTCGCTAAATGCATCTTAATTAATGGAATGCCATGATCGATTATTTAATTGCATCTTCATAGCTTTTTTTCCGTGATATCTATTGTGTGACGATTATCTCCCTTGACATTTTTCATTTTTATTTTGAGAATCGGCTTCATTTTTTTTTTTTAATAACAATTTCAAATCATTCAAATTTCTGCAATGAAATGTTTGATTGTGAGAAAGAAATCTTCAGTATTGAAAGTTTTCCTTTTTATGAAAGATCCCCCTTTTTCTTTTGTTTTTGGGATAAGTGGTTGCAATATTTTTATGAAATGCAATTTTAGAATCCTATGCTCTTTTGAGATATCCACATAATCCAAGCTTGTCTCTTTGGCTATGTTGCTTTTTTATGGTATCATTTCTTAGATATATTTCTTTTTATTTCGTGATAACAAATGTCAGATTTTCAAAATGAACTTGAGAGCTTTAAATAATTAGGATTTTTTTTTCTTGTCTTTTTTTCAAAATTTGACTGTAAGGAGATGGGACTGAAAGAAATGCATTTTAAACACAAGTGCCTGGTTTTCAGACAAAAGCCCTCATGAGCCTCTCACAGGAGGATCAGGGCAGAAAAGCATCAGGGGACAAGACTAGTGTATCTTGGTGAGACAAACTGACCATTTGGCTGTCATCCTGCTCTCTCATCAGAGAAAGAGACTGAGGCGTTTGGGAAAAGAACTTATTCAATGACGCTCTTACTGGTGGTGTTGAGTACTCCTTTGATAAGTTGAACAAGGACTCAACAATGTGTGATAGGCAAAGTCCGACAGAGTCTTGTTCATGTTCTCCTTGGGTTACATACAACCAATCAGATTCTTCAACACCAGAAGGAGGCTGAAATTTTAAATAAATGAAAGAATAAAATTTTGATACATTAACATTTCCACTAAATATTTATGCTAAATCCTACCAGGATTCATTATTGGCAGCCACAAGCTTAACAACATTAGATATGCATATGATACAGTGTTGATAGCAGACATGGAAAGAAAACTAAAGGAACTCCTACAGAACGTAGTAAAGAAAAGGTAAAAGTGAAGACTAAAAATATATTGTAAAAAGATAGATTGTATGGTTGTCAGCAAAAGGGACAGCCCAACATGCAAATTACAAATTGGAGATGTGAAAAATCAAGCAATTACAAAACTTTAAATATCTAAGAAGTGTTTTAACAGAGGATCAAAAATGAGAATGAAATCCGAAGGCATGTTGGGATAGCGAAATATACCTTCCGAAAGCTAAGCAAAGTATTAAGAAACAGGAAAGAAACAAAAAAAAAAAGTACTGAACTGTAATATCAGTCTTCCTATATGACTGAATGTTAGACAATCTCCTCACAGATGAAGAGACTTGAAACAACAGAAATGTGGTTCTACAGAAGGAAGCTGAGAATACCATGGACGAAATATATGAGCAGTGACAAAGTTTTAGAGAAAAATGAAAACAAAAAGGACACTTATACTTAACATTAGAAAGAGAAAGTTGAAATTTCTAAGGCACATAATGAGGAAAGCAGGCTTGGAAAATTTGATACTCACAGGACAGATTGAAAGCAAGAGGGACAGAGGAAAACAAAACATAACCTACTTAGTGAGTTTGAAGAAATGGATGGCAGAACAGGGTTTAGGAGAAATAACAGAATGACAAAATTTATTAAGATCTACAAAGGACAGGAAATTGTAGAGAGCCATGATGGCCAATATCCTGAAGGGACATGGCAGATAGAAGAATGCATGGTTGTCAGCAAAAGAAACAGTCCAAACTGCAAAGTACAAAATAAAGATACCAAAATCAAGCAAGTACAATAATTTAAATATATGGGAAGTGCTTTGACAGAGGACGGAAAGTACAACACTAAAATCCAAAGGTGCATTGGGATAGCAAACGAAAGAGGACTTTCAAAAGCTAAGCAAAGTATTAAAGAGGAAAATCTCATTAGAAATAAAGAAAAGAGTACTGATCTGTTATGTAATTTCTGTCCACCTATGTGGGAGTGAATGCTGAACAATCTTGGAGATGAAGAAGAAACTTAAAGCAATAGAAATGTGGTTCTACACAAGGATGCCATGAATACCATTGACGGAAAAAGTAAGCAACGACAAAGTTTAAATTGAAACAAAAAGAACAATTTTACAAGAGTATACGATTAAAATTTCTGATGCATGTAATGGGGAAAAGGTGGGGGGCTTGGAAAAGGTTTATTATACTTTTTACCTAAATAAAAGTGTGGCCTTGAAAATTTGTTACTTGCCTTATTCGGCCTGTTAACTTCATCTTCATTGCTATATTCACAATGTTTTGGCCATTGTACGCTCTGGCCCCATTCAGGTGACTAGAATTTTCAACCAAACCTTTTATTTCGTCCACCAGGGTAGATTGATCTAGTTCCACGTGCCATGCCTCTTCTGGATGTCTCAGTTATTTCCCTTTAACTCAACTCGTCAAGTTTTTTTTGTTCACCACTGCTGTAACCTGGTATTGAACTGACAACTATTTGGGTCTAGTCATTGGATCTAACCAACGTCTTTATCCGCTGGGCCATGTGTCCTTGAGGATAAAGACATTGGTTAGATCCAGTGACTAGACCCAAAGGGTTGAGAGTTCAATACCAGGCCACAGCAGTGGTGAAAAAAACTTGGAGAGTTGAGTTAAAAAGAAATAACTGAGACATCTGGAAGAGGCATGGCATGTGGAACTATTAATAATATTTAAAATTTTTTCTAATCAAAGATTCTTAAATTCAGTTTTTCTTTATAGTAGTATAGCTGGCCACTTGTGTTCGAGAATACCCATCTACTAGGGCAGCTAGCCAATCTCTATTGCAGACGTTTGCTCAGGCGCATTTTGTGTTTGTCCAACACCCACAGAGTCAACCGGCGGTTTATACTACAACTATGCTGAGTAGACCTTACAGTTTCTGGGAAAGAGTGTGTTATCTAGCATTATCAACAATTTGAACAAGTCCAGCACACTCAAGCCCTCGGCCACAATGACTTGTGATGTCGTGCTAGTACAGCTATTGGTTCTGCCTACCCAATTTTGCTCACAAGGCTTGGGTCAATCTGCGGTACAGTCTTCAGGGACTTTCCAAAGATGCCACATGCTGGGATCAACCGCTCCAGTCTGATATCATCAGGAAGTTTCCTCCCTGACAAATCGACCATGGTGAGATTTGAACCTGGGTTTCATGGTCAAAATGTGAACGTTCTATCCACTCAGTCAAGTACCTATAGTTTTTCTTTATACCAATAAATATACAAAAATATATACTGTGTAGGGGGCAACTAACAAAAAAAAAAAAAATGTGCTAAAAATTCTCATAGTTATTTTTATACATAAACCATAAATAAAAAATTAAAACAAAATAAAAACAGCATTCGATGCCTCTTATCATTTTCAATAAATAATGGCCAATTTTCTCACAGATGTCAAGACTAGAGTCATCAGAAATTTGCTTCTAAAGGAAAATGCTGAGAATACCATGGAGAGAGAGCATGTAAGCAATACATAAAGAGACAGATGAAAATATGGATGTAAAAAGTGAGGAAGGAGGGCTTAGAAAATTTAACACTCACAGGACATATCAAAGGCAAAAGCGGTAGAGGGTGGCAGTGGGCCACCTAACAAGCTTATGTGAAAGGATGCCAGAACAATGGGGTGTGGGAAAGATGGTAAAAAGACAAACATTACTAGGAGCTGCACAGGATATGAGGTGGTGGAGAGCCATGATTGCCAATGTTCTGAAGAGACATAGCACATAATATTATGCATATTCTATATATAAAGATCTTCTTGGTGGATGCAAAATTTAAGGAATGCTATAAAAACTGACATATTTATTAAAATGAGAGAAAAATGGACAAGAAAATTAACAATCAGTTTAAATGGTAATAAAAAAGCAAGAGGTGGGGGTGGGGAGAATAGGAAAACCCGACTGGTTCTTGTTCATCTCTCTAAACAGAGTTCAATCAAGGAAATAAAACCCATCACTAAGAAAGGAGAAAAGCAAATTTACATACTAAGGATAAGAAATACATATATTAAAAATATACTTTATATATGTGTATATATATATATATATATATATATATATAAAAAATATAAGAGTATATCTGTAAAAATAAAAATGTTAAAAAAAATTAAAAGAAAAAGTTATTTAAAATATATAATACATGAATTAATTCCAAGCTAAAATAATTTAAATACTAATTTACATTAAATGAAAAACAATTTCAACATCATTTACTCACTTTCGTCCAATTGTGTCACTTAGCTTCTTCCATAGCTTGCCGAGACTATTTGCCTAAACTAATTAATATTTATGAGCATTCTTAATTTTAAAAAAGCAATAAAGTTTTTGCTCTTGTATATAAATACATGTTACAAAATAAAAATCCTTGCATTTGCCTTGATATAGTCCCTAAGAGTACAAAACGTGTCATCTAAGACATGTTTTCCCTTGGTTTTTATTCATGTACGCACACACATATATAATAAACTGATTACAGTCAAACCCAACAACCATTCATTTTGTTTCCACAAAGAAGGTTGAATAGATTTCATTATAAAATGGTCCCCACAAAACTTTCAAAAGAAACCTCAGAGTAGGCAAGAGTGTATCACCAACTATTATTAAAATGTGCAGAGATTGCAGACCCATATGTTCTTGGGCAATTTCATTCCTGTTGAATAAACCCTTTCCTGAGTGACCATGTCTTCAAGAATTTAGTTTATCTAATAAAAGGCTACAGGAATGGAGCAGTTACTTAGAGGTAAACACACTAACAATGATCTGCGAGACGTACTGTCAATCTACAGAAGGTGCAAAGTATATTTTTTACAGATAATATCCAAATCCAGGGCCTTCTCACTGCTGTTGGAGGAACCCTCTTTGAATGACTACGTCTTCAGGAGTGTAGCTGTACTCACTATGCATGATCAATTACAAGTTGGTGAGTTGGATATTTTGAATTCAGAGTAATCCTTCTCCTAGACTGGTTGCATCCCAAGGCTATAGGACTCAGTCTGTCCTGTTATTCCTCAATCTGAGTCACTATCCATTACTCCACCATGCCTTATATTTTATACTATATACATATATATATATATATATATATATATATATATATATATATATATATATATATATTAGCATTGCCCGTGCTTGATTAAAAAATCGTACAACTCATACTGCTATCACTTGGCTTAAAATATTTTTGCCCTTCCTTGCCTTTAAAGGAGTGCCCTTTGCTGTGCTGATGTTGCTACATGCCTTCTTGTCTATCTCACACTGCAAATTTTATCTAAGCTCTATACTAAACATTAAAACTGTGACGAAAAAAGAACTAAACAAAATGAACACAAAATGATCAGCTTTAAAAAAGGACTCATAACTGGAAAAACCGAATGGAAAAAGAATGTTAACAACAAATACTTTTTCACATCCAAACCCAGTTCTGTGGAATCAGAATCAACGTTGAGTTTAAGCAAGCGAATGAGCCAATTGGAGTAAAATGTCATGCAGATTTAAATTTTTCCCACTTGTGACGAATGCAGCTATTGATTTTTTTTTTAGTTAACATTCGTGTCAGTCAGGTGTTGACTCTCACGCTGGCCAATAGAATCTTCCTGCCTATTCGTGGCAGCCAGCTATTGGCTCTCACTCTGGCCAATAGAAAATGGCCGCAAACTACATGAAAACTGCCGTAGAAGCATGAAAAAAATCGATTATTTCCACTATCGATGGGAGTAGGGAAATGCAAAGTCGGTCTTGGCCTTCCTGCTAACTTGGATCATGTGCATGTAAATCTTGGTGTAAATCCGTCGAAAATTGCGGCCGTGCATTCGTTACACACACTGCCTTTTACAGATAGAGATAACACAGGGTGTATCAAAAATATTTTTACAAATTTTGGTGGTGGGTTCCTGGCAGCAGAGCAAGGTAAAATGTCCATATAAATATATGTCCAAAGGATCATCGTTGTACCTCAACACAGCAACTCATGTTCAAAATGTCCTCCACTTGCTTCTACACACGCATGCACCTGTCGGATCATTGACTGGCAAACAATTTCAAATATTCCCTCACAGTGGCAAATGGTTTTGCAGGCCCCTATGACATGTTGATGAAGCATCTCTGCATTATTAATGCCTGCTGCATAAACCAATTGAATCAGTCCTCCCCTTTTTTATCCATTTCTCATGGTAGATATCAGCCAGTACCTCACAAACAATGTGATGATTGCAATCATACATGAACCATATGTGTCTTCATATTAGCAGGGGTACATCCTCTAGCAGGTCTGGAAGAGCATTCGAAATGAAGTCCCTGTACACATCTCCTGTAAGACGTGTTGGGAGAACATGTAGACCTACCATACAGTCACCTACAATTCCAGCCCACACATTAATCGTAAACTGATGCTGATGTCTAGCCTGTATTAAACCATGGGGATTCCAATCCACCCACAAATGTTGGTTGTGTAAATTTTTTATTCAATATCTTCCAAATGTTGCCTCATCTATAAACAAGACTGAAGAGACAAACAACAAATCGTTCGTTTGTGCAATAAACCATCGGCAAATGTTCTCCCATGGTGAGTGATCCGAGGGTGAAAGACCCTGCACACATTACAAATGATACGGATACAGGAGCTGCTCTTGAAGTACCTACCATGCAGTACTATGAGATGTATGACATGAGCCACTTGACATGTGCTTATACCTGGATCGTCTCCAAAAGCCTGTAGAATATGTTATTCATGGTCAGGTGTACGAGCGGATCTTGGTTTTCCTCAATCCATAGTTTGTGGTGTCATGGATCCTGTCTCGGCAACACAGCAATAAATAGCAGTAAAGGTTGGACGACTCGGATGCCTTTGTTCTGGAAACGCAATCTGACACAGCTGTGCAGCCTCATGTCCATTACCATTCGCACAGCCGTATGTAAAATTCATATCTGCCTGCTCACAATATGAATATCCTGCTATTGTTAAATGGAACACTTCTCAGTTGCACAAATTAAATATAGAAAATAGACTAGCCACAAATGTACATGAATGACAAATGTAATCAAGTCTACATAGCATCATAGTGCTATCGACAGTAAGCTTTCTTAAATTTAATAACTCAAAAATGAAGGATTTGCAGACATGGACTTTTGTTCTTGTTTTAGTGTGAGAAAATGCATCCTGAAAGTTTGTAAAAGTATTTTTGAAACACGCTGAAAAATGCTAACAACAAAAAGAATTTACCTCAAATATTTTTTCAGGAAAAATGTCCTTGTTCTTGTAGCAACTCACTGGAATCACAATGTTGTCATTCCACACAAAGTGCTGAGTCATGGAAGCCATATCCGGTTCACCTGCAGAAGAACAGGAAAAGTAAGACACATAACACAGCAAAAATATGAGGTTCAAGAGCTACTCAAGGTAGAGGGTAACGGTTTAAACTGTCATGGTAAATGAGGTATGTGCGATATAAATGGAAGAGAAGGTGGTAGGAATTTAAGAATAAGGAGGATAGTTAAGTATTGACACTTGATGCGAAAAGGTTAAAATTGTAGTGTTTAGAGAAGCATCCAAGCGGGAGTATTCAAAAAAGTAGAACTTCTTCATTTGGAATACAGAAGAAATGGGGTGATTCAACTCTGTGGAAGTAGCATGGTGTGTCTTAGTTGTAAAGATCTGAACTAAAGAATGGTGATTATCTGAAAATTTGCCATGGAAATAACTATAGAAAAGCAATAAGCTTGCAACATTGCATCAGTGAGAAAGAGGCTGCCGAGTGAAGAATAAATCTTCCTCACACAAGAACTTGTAAACGATTTTAAACTCTATTAAGTCTGAAAAGTGATGATTAAGCAAGACCAGCCGATATATGGCAGTAGTATTCTATTTTTGGTCTAATCTGACTCTTGTAAAGAATAAAGCATGGTAAAAGGAGTCAGGTACTTTCTGGAGTGATAGAATGAGCTGAAACAGCTCCAGGCCAGATATAGCAGCAATACACCATTGTTTGGTCTAATCTGACTCTTGTAAAGATAAAGCATGACAGAAGGAGTCAGGTACTTTCTGGAGTGACAGAATGAGTCAAAACAGCTCCAACCCAGATATAGCAGCAATAGTCCATTTTTGGTCTAATCTGACTCCTGTAAGGATAAAGCATGACAGGAGGAGTCAGGTACTTCCTGGAGCGATAGAATCAGCCAAAACAGCTCCAGACCAGATATAGCACCAAAAGATTAGCATTATCGCCTGTTGAAATTTATAAATTTTTTTCTTTCTCTTAAAACAGCTCTTCAGGAAAACAGGTTTCTCAAGTCCAGTAAATGTTATTGCTCTTTCCAGTTCTGATAGAAACTTCCTTCCTAACCTTTTGTTTGGAATAGTGTGGAAAGTCAACATGTTGTTAGAAGTCTTCAATTGACATAGTTTCTGCCATTTGGTAAAAATCCTTTGTTTGAGATTCTGTGGTACCAGTCTGCAATTGCATTTCAATGCTCAATTGCCTTGGTGTTGACCAAAAGCTGGAGAAGTGAGCAGCACATGCTCACAAGGTAACATGATGAAAGAAAAGTAATATATCAAGCAATAAAAATGCAAAACCCATTTTTCATATTACATGCAGATGTTTTATTATTAGTTTCGCCTGCTCATCCAGACATCTGGAACAACTTCTGCTATGTCAGCTCTTCCCCGCTAACTCCTTGCCCCTCTACTAACCCCAACTTGGTGACAGGCAATAGGAAATGGTGCCTTCAGAACCACAACATGGATATGTCCATCTCCCGTTAAGAGCAGATCAGATCTCTCTCCAATCCCAATTATGACTGTTAATATAAACCAGCACTCGGATATGACCTATTTCCGGTTTTGTTGCCACTTGATCCACAAAAAATCCCTTTACTTCCCAATTTCCTTTGGTTAAAGTGGATGCCACTTAGAAGACCAAACTTCAAAAAGAACCATCCACTGGTCTATCACACAGAAACACTTAAGATCAAGATAAAACCACATCTTCCAATGTCAGTGCCTATAGTATCACAATAGTTGCTTATAAACAAGTTGCCTACAAAAAAGATGTTGTATAATTCATCTTACACAATGTCAGATAACTGACAAATAAACCCTATTTTGAACAGAATTACATAGCCACATACATATTAAGACATGCCCAAACTTCATTTTCTACTCAATAACAGACAATATTTACAAACATGCCAAAAAGATTTCACAATAGACCACACACCATTCAAATTAAAGTGTCCATTGGTTAGAAATTAGCATCACCATGTGAAATATTTGACCAATCAGAGAAAACTAAAACACTATTTTTTTCAAACCTACTTTCAGGAAACATTTCTAATAAAAATCTACAAATTTCAGCAGTATCAGAGATGTAACTGCCTCCCCACAGAATGCACTCAAAGAAACATATGTTGGTAACTTCAAACAAATCATCTCCAGCAATAACAAAGATGGTAAATGAAACTTTGTTAACAATAAAAGTATTTTCTAAACTGTAGCTTTTTTTCTGAGGACCAATTATTTAAAAGTTTTTTTTTCTCAACCAGAACTTTTCCTGTGGACCAACTACCCAAAGACTTTAATTCAACTAAAGACTATTTTTACTCCTTTTTAACTCTTTTGAATTCATGTATATTTGTTTGCAAGGAAATGTTTATCAATCTAACATGTTTCACTTAAACATTTCCTATTTGTTCTTTATCATCCTGTCAGATTCCGATCTATATTTGATCTACATTTGATCTTTAACTCATACGTTTTGTAAATACAAATGATTTATTTAACAGGCATAAGCATGTTTGATTTATTTTTACTTGAATATTGTTTAAAATTTGGATGATCGGATTTTTAATATGAAAAGACCTTGACAACCAAATTTCCTACACCACTAAGATACCAGATGTTACTGAGGGGGAAAGTGAATGAGAAGACTTTAGTGTGGGTAAAGGACAAAAAAAAAAAAAACAGATTTCAAGAAGACAGAAGATGGTGACTGACATTGCATTTAAACTTTTGAAGATTATTACTGCTTAGAATTCGAACAGATTCTTTATTAAGAATCTGTTCGAATTCTAAACAATAATAATCTTCAAAAATACTGGACGACTGAATTTCTTACAATTGTCCATAGATCTTACCCTCAACAAGAATACATCGTTCAAAGGCATGAGCAGCTATGATGTCTCTTTGGTGACGGCCAGAGCCAAAATAAAGAGTCTGTCCAGGAACCAAAGTGGAGCATTCTCCATTTTCCTTTGGCTTCTGAAAAATAAATTAGAGTATTTCGACAATGAACAATTATAATGAAGATCCTTGATAAATATTTGGAAAAAAAATTTTGAGATGATGTTTTAAATTTCCAATTTTTTTTATTTTTTTTTATTAAAGTGAATTTTCATTTAATATGAGAAATGCTAACCAAGTCATTCTTACCTTACAGTCAATTTTTGGAAGTATGTGAGTAATAGATGCATACGAATTTGCATTGGAACTGTGTTTCTGTAGGAAACCTTTGCAGATTTCTTGTGCCACTCCATAATAGCCACTTGTTACAAGTTGTATACCAACAATAGATGCAAGGTGTTTGCCAATAGATCTGAAATGTAAATAAAAATAGTCACAGTAAGAACTTATGTCATTTTATTTGATTTTTTTTTATTCAGCTTCAGTCGAGATCATAGTCCATGTAGTTGTGAACACCATAGTCTTTTCAATGGTTATATACTATGTGCCAAGCCCAGACTGCATAGCAGTTTTGAATTCAAAGTTGTCCTTCTTCAAGACTAGCTGACAACCATGAATAGAGAGTCCAGTGTGCCTATATATTTAGCCCATAGCTGGGGGTCAGATGAGATGACTTTACAACTTTCCCAAGGATATAAGTGCAAATGTAACAAATGTATAGTATTCAAATTCAGCTTGATGATTTTACTTTCCCAGTTGTTAACCATTACAGCACCTGCACATCAATTTTTTTTTTCTTACCATCCCATCTATTATTACCATGGTGGGTAGACTGAGTGGCCATGATTAAACGCAAAATAAGTAACAGAACTGCCCAACATACAGAATTGACACAGTTTGCAATAATAAGAAAAAGAAAAGAACAAGGCAAAAATAATATAAAGCAAGCAAACAATATATGCAAGGCAAATTAACAGTATTAAGGTAAAGCAACAGTAATATGGCAAAAAGTTCACAAACTAAGAATTGGGGTTGACACACAAGAGCAAGTTTGGACAAGTGAACAGTGTTCTGACTTCAAGACAAGACAGACTGGGATGAGTCAGATGAAACCAAGAACTTGGCTAGGAGAAAAATCCCAGCATGCATTTGTGTGCTTCTGTCTATAAATTGAGGGAAGGAACGTGTTTTGCAATCATTCCCACTTAGATTGGAACTAACACAATCTTTGAGCATCTTACAAAATATCTTGTTTATATTTAGTCAAGTAGATTTCTGAAAACTTTGTTCAAGTAACATTGTGTGAATTACAAACACATTGCAGCAAAGTAAAGACTAATAATTGCAGAGATCAGAATAACTTTTCTGATCATTGCTTGGAATGCACAAAAACAATTCAAGAAAAGTCAAAATGGTCAGAAAATGTTTTAAAAGATTAAACTAAAAATAAAATGAAACCTTATTCTTGCATATTCTAACATTTGAAACTTACAAACTCTTATTGGCCTTTTTAATGTGATTTTTCAAAATAAAACTGTTTTTTTAAAAATTCTTATTTGTGCTGAAAAAACCTGAAAGAACATTGAAGCCAACAAAATTAAATCTAAACAATATATATTAACCTTAAGCACTTAACATTATTCATAGGTATTACTTCTCCTTTCACTATCTATGGTGGCTCCTCAAATAAAAACTGCATGAACCTTAATCTTGATTTAAGTCAAGGCTGTTTTTTGTTTTTGCTATACCAGGATGTGACAACACAATAGTGAAATTTAAATATATAGTTATCTAATACAATCATTCCTGTCAAACCGAGAATTGAAGGTCGTTCTCAACGGATTCTCCTCCAGTTCCTATCCCACGAACGCAGGTGTTCCCCAAGGCTCCATCCTTGGCCCCACTCTTTTCCTTATTTTCATCAATGACCTTCCCAACTCCATAGATTCCCAAGTTGGCATCTATGCAGACGACACTACAATTTACTCCTGCCTCCAAAACAAATCTAGTGTCGGCGACAAAACTAATCTGGCCGTGTGTCTCGAAATGGACCTCCAATCGGTTGTTAACTGGGGCAAGAATTGGCTGGTCAACTTTAACGCCACTAAGACTAAATTACTCTCCATTAACCACCATAGAGATCCTTCCCTGCCCCCCATTATAATGTCTGATAGTCAACTTCCTGAGAGCAATTCCCTGCGTCTGCTCGGTCTCACGCTGACTGCTGACCTGAGATGGAACAAATACATCGAGTCAATTGCTTCTTCCACCACGAGGAAAGTTGGCTCTCTGTGCCGCGCCAGGAAATTTTTCTCCCCTGAATCGATACTTCAAATATACAAAACAACCATTCGCCCTTGCATGGAGTATTGCTGCCATATATGGGCTGGAGCACCTTCTGCTTACCTCGGAGTTCTTGACAAGATCCAGAGACGGATATGTAATCTAATTGGTCCTGATCTAGCGTCTCGTCTGCAGTCACTCTCTCACAGACGCGCCGTCACCTCTCTCTGTCTTTTCTACAAATACTTCCATGGTAACTGCTCCGACGAGCTGCTTTCACTGGTTCCCAGACTCCATGAATTCAAGCGCCCTACGAAGCTGGCATCCCGCTCCCACCCTTACACCGTAGAAACTTTCAAATGTAGCCATCTCTTCTACTCCAATAGCTTCATACCTTGCACCTCTCGCCAGTGGAACACCCTCCCCAGTTACTGCTTCTCTGAAGGCTATAATCTCCAACTATTCAAATGTAATGTCAATCGACATCTCCAGTTACCTTGATCTACCCACTATCCTTCTCCTCATCCTTTCTCCTATCACTCCTATCTGCTCTCGCTCCTATCTGCTCTCGCTCCAAATCTTCTGCAACCCCCTGCATCCTACGGGCGTAATGCTTAAAAAAAAAAAATTTGTCGATTGGAGTCAACTGCAATAGCAGGACAAATGCTTTCCTTGGTGACTGAAGTTGCCTAAGGAGTATTTAAGGTTTTAATATTTCATTCAAATGCATGTTAGAACACTGGAAAAATATTTTTTTTAATATTTAAATTTTTTAATATTTATCAGACAGCATTTAAGCTGGCTCCTGTGGAGGGCTCTTGATTGGGCCTTCATCACAATATGTAGGGAGGAGTATATGCGATAGACAACAATAAACTATAGAAGAATTCAAAATTTGTTTGCTGCACTTAACTGTTGCATTAATATTTAAGCTTAACCTTTAAAAGTTCAATGATAATTCTTCTGCTGCCACTTAATTTAAAGACGTAAGTCTTTACTTTCCATACAAACAATTATTTTCATTTCATGGATGACTTTCACTGGATTTTGAAATTAATTCTGATTATTCCCAAATTTATTTCCAAGTTATAAAAATTGGAATCATACAAAAATATACCTAAAAAAAGAAAAAAAAAAATCACTGAAAATGATCTCACTAATGAAAAATTGAGAATCCAAAATTTCATGATTGCATGTCCAGATCCAGCCTGCAGTGTTTCTAATTTGCTCACAGAGTTGGACTGATTCCAAAATGGTATGATATGTTTGGCTCTGGCCTCTTGGGTAAAGTTGGAAAAATGTGATTCGCATTTATTATATAGAAGTAGCAAGTCAAAATTTCCTGATTAGTCAAGTCACTTTATGAATGCCTTTGTCAAGTAACTATAAAGATTTTCTCACTTTAGTCATAATATTTGTATGAATTACAAACAGTTTTATTTTTGTCCTAAAAAATAAAATCATAATTTCGGTACATTTTTAAAAAGGCAAATTCAAAAATAATTTTAGAATGAAAATAATGTTAACTATTTATTTATTTATTCTATAAAATTACCAGAAAGAACACTGAAGCCAACGCATAACAAAATTAAATCTAAATGATATATCTAAGATATTTTGATTGGGTGTTAGAACAGCAAATGAAATGTTTTTCTTTTAATATTTAACAAGTAACAAGTTCACATTTCATGATTAGTTGCTTTTTGAATACTTCTGTCCAGTAACTACAAGGAGTTCCTGGTTTTAGTCATAATAATATTTGTATGAATTACAAGCGGTGATCATAAAGTAAAGACTGTCTGTAATAATTATAGGAGAAACATGCAAAGATCACAGTAACCTTCTTGTTACAAGCCAGTAGAGCTGTTAGAGCTTGGTCATAGGAGAGATCAGCTACTCATGTAGATTTATGAATTTATTTGACTAATTTTAGCCATTAACCTTCCATTAATATCATGGGCTGTTTTTTCTTAATATTTAGCAAGTGGCAAGTCAAATTTTCATGATGAGTCAAGTAGCTTTCTGAATACCTTTGTCAACTAACTACAAGGAGTTTCTGGCTTTAGTCATAATATTGTATCAATAACAGACAGTTTTATTTGCTTACTGATAAACAAAATCATAATCTGGTACTTTTTTGCTAAATTTTAATGACTTCTTTTACAAGCATACTAATGTATTTTCTTTCCTTTGTTACTTGTATATAAAAAAACATAGAAATATCACCTTGTTAAGATTTATTCAGTTTCCTTTTGCCTCTACTAATAATGATAGCCTGTTAGTCACATGTGTAATTTTTGTTTGCCACTATTTTTAGTTAAACTAAGAGTAGTACTGAAACAAGCTAAAATACCAGGTTGGGGCTGATAATATTGAATATTCTTCTTTGGATTTTGTCCAGAATTTCAAGATAGAATATAAAAATTATATAGAATGAGAAAATTAAGAAGTAAATGATATATCTATATTTTAAATGGGGTGCTTGAAAAATAACACTGTACCGATCCTGTGATAATGTTCCATGGTATTAACAGTAGCCCCTGGGAGAATTTATTAAAAACCAGAAATTATTCAACATTGTTGAATGCTACTTACCTACACAAGTTGCTTGTGGCCTCATCAGGTGCAGATGTGCCTGTAATGTAGATACACTTCTCAAGGTTCACTTTCTGCTTAAGATTCTGCATCTGTGACAAAAAATAAAAACAAAAGAAAATTTTGGTGAAAAAAAATTGCAACCTCTTTTCAAGTATAAATCAATTCATTAAAGTCAAATTGGTTGATGCTCTCAAAAATGACCTTCAGTCAGTTGTTAACTGGAGTAAGAAACAGCTTGTTAATTTTAACACCTCCAATAGTCTGCAAGGACCTTTCTTGCCTTCCATCAGCATGGCTGATTTTAACCTCCAGGAGAGTGACTCCCTGTAACTTCTCAGGTTAACTTTCTTTCAGTTCACATGAAGTGAAAAGATTCTATTGAATCAATTGCTAGGTCTACTGCTAGGAAAGTTGGTTCACTGTGTTATGCTAGACAATTCTTCTTGCCAGTATTCTATTTCACTGTAGCAGATGCTGAACATATGAGAGCATTATTACTTACTTACTATTATGTATGCCCATTTTTTTTTCTTGCTACAACCAAACAAGGTTCCCATATGATCACCAACATCAAGCCTGGTCAGTTCCTAAATGGGCAACCACTTGTGAATAGCAGGTTGGATGTGCAGGTGATATAATGGATAATGGCTCAGGATTGAAATTGGAGAGCTGAGTTACAAGTTGGGTACAGTATATTCACTTGGGCAAGGTAGGAATCTATGGGTTAATTAGTAAGACTTGTATCACTAAATCATTATTATCACAAAAAAAAAATTCTTATAACCTAAAAATATTTTCTGGCTTTAAATAACCTGCAAAGGGTTGGTAAGTCTTAGAAAATGAATCAATCAATCAGTCACACGAAACAGCATCTATAATAAATCTTACGTCTTTTGTGACAATCAAAACAGAGAGGTTCATTATTTATCTGAGGTAGTGGCAGAGCATAATGCATGTGCTAAACCAGGGGTCAGCAACCTTTTGCTAACTATGTGCCAACTTAGGGTTTTATTATTCAGTGTGCCAACAGCATACATATTTTTATACAAGTCAAGGTAAATATACGTGTTCTACAATATATTTTATATAGTAATATATAGTATATATACTTTTGTATATATTAAAATTGAAACAGCTAAATATCTTCTTTGCGTTGTAGTAGTTATTGGTTCAAATATTGTGATGTCATTTGTGGCTACATGCCATTGGAAATTGCTTGGCGTTCTACATGTAACATGCATGCCATAGGTTGCCGACCCCTGATATAAGCAATAATACTAAAAAAAAAAAAATGCTACTAAGCGAAACCACCAGTAACAACCAACTAGATGAAAGAAACTGACCAATTTAAATATATCCGTAGGTAGTTAATATTAACTGCTTTCCAAAATTTGCAGCAAAAGTGCTTGATATTAAATAAAGCTTATATAAAATATGAAAAATATTATCTCATCTGGACAAGTTTTACCCTGGAAACATAGTTCGTCAGACCATGTCAGAAATGTTTATTTTTAATGGCGCCCACAACATGCGTATTTAATGCTGTGTGAACCATTTTTTTCGGTCTCTGTTAATGAATAAAAAAAATGTTCCTAGAATAGCATTATGGAACCTGTCCATTTTTACAAACTCTAAAGCAGGGGTCGGCATTTGCTTGGCACGTCACATGTGGCACTTGTACCATGGGTTGCCAACTCCTGTGCTAAACGAATAAATGAATGAAGGAACAAGCAGAATTATAATATGATTCTAAATCATGTTAGAAATTATGGTAAATTCTTTGTGGAATTTGTAAAAATGAAAATTTGGTGAGTGGCAACTCACAATGCATTTCACTTCCAATTCATTGCATTCACTTTGATCTTGGGAAGACTGAGTTTTTGGATCAAGAATTTCTCGCACCCATTTTACTAACAGCTGCTGGAAGTTGGGCTGGTGAACATCCTGAAATAAAAAAAAAAAGTACATAAGAAAGAATATACATTTCTGGCATACAAACATTGATATGGCTCATACATTATGAACAGTTATTTCCTCCTCTTTTTTTTTAATTTCTTAAATGTTTTCTTAATTATTTCACCCACAAGCAAGGCAACAATGCCACTAGAATGTAAGGAGGATACAAGATATCAATTGACATTGCATTTAAATTTTTGAAGATTGTAGTTATCAGGGAAACAAGAAATCAGAAGGGAGTTCCACAGACAGAAAGTGCAAGAAAAGAAACTGTTAGAATAAAAGTGGTGGTCACTAGTTCAACAGTAAAACTGTGGGACCTACTTGCCAATCTAGTAGCATGCTTCAATTTATGTAGTCGTGACACTAAGGAGAAAAGACCATCAGAACAATTGCCATGAAAATATTTGTAGAAAAGACAGAAGGTAGCCACAACATGTCTGTGAAAGTAAATGAAGTCAAGATGCCTTACAGAATAAAGTTTTAATGTCCATACGGTTTAAATAAAGTGAACAAGAATGTAGGCCATATATTTATCAATTCCTACCATAGAAGCAAGCCAGAGGGAAATGAATACCTTGGAGCTGTAAAGTCTTGAATCTTTTCTTTCCCAATGTACCAGTAATAGAATTGCTTGAAATCCAACCACTTTAACCAAGCCAACAAAATACAATTCCCATGTAGGGATACAGTGATGAAAATGGCCATTCATTCAGTGTAAACTTATTGGTGTCAAGACATGTTTTTTTTTTATCCTGCCAAATTTTCTGCCCAGAGCAGCTTGCTACCAAATGGTACAGCTTACAAGTCCATGAAGGTATTTTCTTTTGGGAATATATCATCCCCATATAGAGAAAAAAATTCCAGCTTGCAGTACTCAATTTGGAAAAAACCCAAGACTTACCGTTTCCCCTTCATGGAATATATCCTTGCCTGGGACATAGCAGATGAATGCAGCCTGTTTGAATCTGGAGTCCTAAACATGGCTTCTCCAGAAACATAGAAGAATCACCATATTAAATGTAAGACTTAACTTTTTGTTTCTCCTTATATTCTGCTTGCTGTGTAGATATATGTTGTATATTTTTCTCTGCATGGCACATGTGTAATTTTGTGTATGTCTAAGTAGTATAAAAGTCTCTGAGAACAAAGCATGTTTGTTATTCCTTTTTTTTCAGCCATTCTGTTCCATGAACTACGATCTTATTATATCATGGATATAAAAATGATTATAATGGGAGAAATAGAAATGGGAGAATAAATCTTTCTACCATGGCTCTCTCCTTTATCAGGTCTGTGGAGCCGGATCACAAAACCTTCTATTTTTGGCATCTCTGACTCCTATTTATGTACTTAAGTGATTATGACTCACAAATTACATAAAGCCTATGCATACACTCCTAACTTGAGTAGGCCTGTATCATTATAACTGATTTACAACAAAGAATAAAGATATTGTAGCTTTTATATCATACCTATTCATTCTTCAATATTTTATAACAGAATTAGGGACAAAATATTTGAAAGGATATAGAAGAAATAACAATAAAAATGCTATAAGACTTTACATATATATATGTTTGTAAATAAGAAATAAGTACAGAACAAAAATAGTATCTGTCTATATTTCTGAGATGAGGTATTATGTACACTGTTTACATTATTCGGACTATTGTTCTCATCTTTGTCGCCATATTCATTATAACGTTTCGGCCGTTGTACACTCCAGCCTTCTTCAGGTGGTTGGAAAGTCGAACTGAACCCTTTATTTCACTCACTCTGGCAGACTGTTCTAGTTCCACGTGCCATGTTTAATGGATATCAGTTATCAGTTATCTCCTGTTAATTCCCCTCTCCAAGTTCTCCACCGCCTTAACCAGGAATTGAACTCACACTCTGTGCCATGTGTCCTCCAGGAAACATGGCACGGTGGATAAAAGCGTTGGTTAGATCCAGTGACGGGTCTTACGACCCCCCCTCCTTCCTTTCTCCAACCTTTTCGATAGCGAAGGTAGAGGAGGGTCGTAATTTGTGTTATTTTGTTTTTTTAACATTTTACATTTTTTTTGTAAAATATATTTCTTTCCCAAGGGTCTCTTTCCGAATGATCAGACATGGCCGAGCGGAATCGATTAAGGAGCAAACACGATAGGTGACAAACAACAATGGAGACATGAAATAATAATTTATTAACAAACATGGAATCGTGAAAAAGATAAAATAAAAAAAAATGGCCAAAACAAAAATGACGATATGTCAAGACTAAACATTTAAACATTGTGGACAAAATAGTGGGAGAAGAGCATCCTCAAACAAAGGTAAAATAAACATCAGCGTGTGGCCTTGTGCCATACTGCCACAAATTTATAGAACATGTGTTATACCTGCACGGATTCACAAAATATCAACATTTTAAGACAATGTGGAAAGAAACATATAATAAAAGGATTTCATGCTAAATTTGCATGGAAGTACAAATACGAAAAAGAGGTACATTTAAACAAAAAAGGGGTACAAAAAAAATAAACTTAACTCAGAATAAAGTCCTTTTTCACTAACAATTTCTCTTAGTCTTATCTATTTCTTTTCTTTTTCCTTTTCTATTTCTTTTTATAAGGGTCTCTTTTTGATGTCTTCTCTTACTCCCTCTCTTTCTCTTTTCGTTGTCTGGGAGCTTGGCTGATGATGAAGCAGAAAATACGTTCCCTCTCTCTTTCATCTTGGCATAACAGCATTCTCGCTCGAGATGGTCTGTTCTTTCTGTCTTTCTTTCTTTTCCCTTTCATGCTTTAAGGGATTGGTGACAGTTGAAACTGCTTTCTTTCTCTTCAATATAGCGGCATTTCACCCACGTCATCAAAACGGGTCCATCCATTCAACTAGGAGACCAGTTCTCCTCACAATTTTGCAAACATCTTTTAGGTCCATATACTAAGACATTTGCCAAACGTCCGTCCAGCCCACAGGCCTGGACGGAGACTAACTTTTCCGTTTCACTATTCGTTTCTGTTTTCTTCTTGTCACGTGATCAATTTTCAAAATACTAACTTTTTCCCATTATGGATGGAATGAGGTCATCGACCCTCTCTCTCATCTTCAGGGTCAGAGAAAGTTTAGTTTAAAGTGTTTCAACTTCTCCCAACCGGGACCTATCCACATAGATCATGCTGTCAACACCTTGACCAAAAGAGAAGGAAAGGGTACACTCTGGTCAATCCTTGTCACCACTGGGTTTACTATCTTTACATTTTCTGCAAGTACTGGGCTCTTTATTTTAGAATGCTTCTAAAATACAAGCAATGGTATATTTTTTTATAACAAATTTAGATCGAGGTTCATAACACAGGATAGTGGAGGCACAGTGATAAAAGCATTGGTTAGATCTAGTGACAGGACCCAAAGAGTGTGAGTTCAACAGCCAAAAATTCCCTGTAGACCCCACATATGTGGGGGCGGGTCTGTCTACCCTCCCTGACGAGACTCTGCCCTTTGGCATAGCATCATCCAGGTTTCTCTCTGCTTGAAGGTAAAGAGTTCGACAAGAACTGAGCCTCATGCATAGCCAGCTCATGCTGACAATGGCGGGCAGAGTTGGTATACTTTTACTGACTTCAACTCCATTGAGGCCTTAATTGCTTCTGACTAATTCCATAGCCCTGCCTGTTATAGTGTTGACCACAATGCTATATTATTTACCCAACACATGATATTATTATCGTCCATCAACTGTTGAACATGATATATTATTCTTTATCGCTATTATCCAGATTTTTATTTCTTTATCTCTTACAACTTCCACTGTGTTTGTTAGCAATCTGCTTCTGCTGGGTACTCCAAAATCAATGTAACCTTACAAAATCAACTTCAAATCTATACTTCTAACTTCTCTGCCTGTACTCTGAAATTTTTGAATAGATTAATCATTATTTACTAATGATTAATCTATTCTTCTTCTCCTCAATAGGAGTAGATAGGTTTGCAGTCATCCAGTTCACACTTCTCCTCTTGTTCCCTGTTTAGGATTGGGTTTCCAGTTCCCTCTAAAGTTTACTTCAGCTATAGTCCTAATATCTCTCCATGAACTCTGAAATTTTATTTACTATTTTTTCTCTCCAAATAGTAGATAAGGTCACCTATCGCCCAGTTCTTGCTCTTCCCAGTTTTTTTGAACAGGTATAGAGGTTTATGGATTGGGTTTCTAGTTCCTGCTAAGGTTTTTATTTTTTTATTTTATTTCATTCCCAGTAGCAACTTGTGTCTTAGTAGCATTATTGTTTTGGTTGGGATAAATTAATAAATAAAAAAAGAAAAAACACCATAAAGCTAACTTAAAAAAAAAAAAAAAAAAAAAAAAAAAATCAAATACACATTATAAACCTGGGAGTTTATATAAACATTTTTTACCCACAATGCTTTGGTTCTTTTCCATAAAAAAACTCTCCTCATTCACTGTGAAGGCAATTCAGGCAAGAGACACTTTGTTCATTTATTCAAACCACAGTTCATAAAGTCAAGAAAAATATCAGCCACATTTCTTTTGATCAAAAGAGAATTAATGAAATGATAGTTATATAAGGAAAACAGAAATTATAAGAGGGAAATTGTCAGAAAGTGGAACTTTAAAATAAGAGAGAATTCTTTAAAATTAAAGAGAGGGAGCCTGAAAAGCCATTGGCCATGCATGGTGATGTAAAAAGAAAATTATGAAACTGATAGTCTTCAGTATTATTCAAATATGTAACAAAGCAGCCATGTTTGAATTTTAATGTTACTCTTTCTGGATATATAAGCATATATGTAAAAAGAAAAAAAAAGTATATTTTTTGTTTCTTACTTTCTTTTCAGCTTGGCAACATATTTAACTGGTTTCTTTAAGTCATAAAAACTTTTGGAAGATAACAGAAGCACAATGTATTTTATTTATACTCCTATAGATAAAAAAAACATGGGTGCATTTTTTGTCTACAGATTGAAAACAGGGGAAGGAAGAGAGGGCATGAATAATGAGGAAGGTGGAAGAAAAGAGGGCTGGGGTGGGGAGGAAAAGAGGAGGGCACAGAGTGAGAAAGAGCGAGAGAAAAAAGAAGGTGGTGAGAGAAGGAAAGAGAAAGAGAGCACGGCGAGAGAAAGAGAAGGAGAGAGAGAGAGCACGGCGAGAGAAAGAGGAGGAGAAAGAGAGAGCACAAAGGAGAGAAAGAGAAGGAGAGAGAGAGAGGCACAGCGAGAAAGAGAAGGAGAGAGAGAGAGGGCACAGCGAGAGAAAGAGAAGGAGAGAGAGAGAGAGCACAGCGAGAGAAAGAGAAGGAGAGAGAGAGAGAGCACAGCGAGAGAAAGAGAAGGAGAGAGAGAGAGAGCACAGCGAGAGAAGGAGAGAGAGAGAGCACAGCGAGAGAAAGAGAAGGAGAGAAAGAGAGAGCACAGCGAGAGAAGGAAAAAGAGAGAAAGAAAGAGAAGGAAAAAGAGAGAAAGAAAGAGATGGAAAAAGAGAGAAAGAAAGAGAAGGAAAAAGTGAGAAAGAAAGAGAGCGAAGGAAAAAGTGAGAAGGAAAGAGAGAGAAGGAAAAAGTGAGAAGGAAAGAGAGAGAAGGAAAAAGTGAGAAGGAAAGAGAACATGTAGAGAAAGAGAAGGAAAGAGAAGAGTATAGCCCCAGAGAAAGAAAGAGGAGAGCATGGCAAGAGAGAAGGAAGCCAGAAGAAGGAAAGAAAGGTGACAGCACAGACCGAGAGAACAAGAGGTGACAGTGCAGGCAGAGGGACCGAGAGGTGATAACAACACATGCAGAAGAACGAAAAGGCAATGAAGAGAATAAAAAAAGAGACGCAATATTAAAAACTTACTTTAAGTTTAGAGGACAGCATTAACATGCTCATCCAGCAAGGAATGTTAAACTCTTCATATTTCAATGTAATCATCCATTTCCGATGTTCACAGTAGAAAACCTTTGGATTAAAAGAAAAAAGAAGTAAATAATTAAATAAGTCTTCTGTTCTTTCCTTATTAATTAAAATTCTAAACACTTCAAATGCCTCAGCATAAGGACCAGTAGCATTAAGTTTTATTTATGGCCGACACCCTAAAGTGCTATAAAACCAAAATACAGTGTGCAATGGATAAATTGTCTAAATGATGCAAAAATGAAAATAGCATTAATATCTCATTTTACCAAAATTACACAAAAATATCTTGAAATACTAAAGAGTAAATTTATTCAATAAAATCGCCATTGGCTTCAACCATGGCCTCCAGGCGACTTTAGAATCTCCAGCAACTCTTCTGGGCAGTTTTCTTGTTTAAGTTGGTGAATACTGTCATAATCCATGCCTTCAGTTCATCTTTGATGTTACAAAGTGTTTTGTTGATCTCTCGTTCAATTGTGCCCCATACATAACAATCAAGGGGGTTGCAGTCTGGCGAGTTAGGTGGCCAGATATAATGGTGATGTGGTTGCAGAAATTGTCCGACAGCCATGATTGGGTTCTCCTGCTTGTGTGGCATGGAGCAGAGTCCTGTTGCCAAATGTAGAGTTGTCCAGTAGTCACCCTCTTGACCCAGGGCAGCACTACACTATGGACCTGATTGACTTGGAGGGATTGTTTTCAATCATGGCCTGGATCTCACCAACAAATGTGGGAGCTCTTTTCTTATCAGAATGATCAGAGTGAATTTATGAACTGCCATACTTTCATAGCCACCATTAGACTCATCAAACTCTTTCCGAATCCTCTTCACTGTCCTTGAGATCTAAACACTCTGAAAAATACAGCATGCCATTTCTAAATTGCCAGTGGAGTGAATTGCATAATGGCATCAAAGTCATTTAGAAAATAGACTTTTTCATTCATAGACAACCATTTTCTCAGATCAATGATTAAAAATGGCTTCAAGTGAATCCAGTCCTTCTTCAGACCATTTGGTCAAGCACTACACAATCACAATCATAGAGCATTATCAAATAACAAAAACTCACACCATTTGAAGACTTAACAGTAGTAACAACAAAAAGGTTGGTTGGGTTTTATGTGATATCAACCACTGTAGGTCATTTAATGCCAAATTTAGTTAGAAATTATATATATATATATATACACACACACATATATATTAAATATATAGTACTACTAAACGTATAGCTGGCAACATTATTTTTTCAAAAACGTATAGCTTGCAACATTATTCTTTCAAAAACGTATAGCTTGCAACATTCTTTCAAAAAACGTATAGCTGGCAACATTATTCTTTCAAAAACGTACAGCTGGCAACATTATTTTTTCAAAAACATTATCAGAGGCCTTGCTGTTGGACACAGTTTATCACCATACCCAGGACGGGACATAATTTATCGCCATACCCAGGATGTGGATGTAGTTTATTGCCATACCCAGGATGCGGATGTAGTTTATCGCATACCCAGAACGCAGGTAAGGTCTGGAAAAAACTGGGAGTTCACTATTTGCCCATAGCTGGGACCCCAACAGGTGCTACCACCAGCAATTAAGAGGTGGTTCCACGCTCTTCAAAACCTCCTGATCAGAGGCCTTGCTGTTGGATGCAACTTAACGTCATACCCAGGACGCCAACAAAAAGGGGTTGCACATGTAACTGGAAGGCAAAGATATAATGAAGATGTTGACTTTCCACATTACTAAAAACAAAAGGTTTGGAAGTAAACTGCCAATAATACTCGAAAGAGGAGAAGTATAATTTCCTGAAAAACTGTTTTCAGAGAAAGATTTTATAATTTTCAACTGACAACATCACTGATAGGTCAATGAATGCTGAATGTCCCCCATATTGAACCCACTAATTTTACCATTAGCAAAGCTTGTTCTGAAAGAATTTTTCCCTAAAATGTAGTCTGCAGATTCAAATGATCCAAATATTGCAATTCATTTTTTCTATATTGAATATTCTTTTTCTGATATAACACAAAATAGTGAATAAGAACAAAAATTTGTCTTCAAAAGTTAATAATAAATATAGAAAATATTCTCAATAACCATATGGATTTATATTGAATTATACTGACTTTTATTTAATTATATGTTTTATATTGTATATTCTCAATATATTCAGAAGAAAAATTCTCTCGCTTTATCAGATAAGCATCAAGAAAATAATCTCATGGTAAAATCAATCAGATGTAATCTTATTCCTTCCAGGAATCCAGGCTAATGTTTTTTTTTTTTTCACCATTATCTTGAAACTCTCCTGAAAAACAATTTTAACTGTCCTGAATTTTTTTTAAACTATTCCAAAAACAAAATATCTTCTTTTTTTAATTTTGTTATCATTTATACTTGCTCGTTGTATAACAAAAACATCATTAAAATATTTAAGAAATTTTTATTTTGATCAAATCAATCATTAAACTTTGGTCTCCAATGTCCTGCAGTTGCTATTCCTGTACGTTTTTATTTTGTTCTTAATTCAAGTCATAAACTTGGCAACAAAAATTTAAAAATGCTACAATATTAGTATTGAAAATGAATGACTATAAAAAGAAATTAGTTAATTTTTACTTTAATTTGAAAGAAAATCACAATTTTTACATAAACATTTCAGTCAAATGACCTTGAAGAATTTTGTATGGAAATTATCTATTTTCATGATCAAAGTGACATTTATCCTGCTTGAAGAATTGTGCGCTATCTGTTCTTTTTCTATATAAAGAATACTAGCCCATTCCAACCATTCACAGATAGAAATGTTTTTATCAAAAAAATGTTCATTTACAATTACCTACCTCACATATGACTAAATTTTTCTATGTTTATCATTTTTTAAATTCTCCTTTTTCAATTTAGTTTATGATAGGCAGAAAACATAACACAAATGTTGTTTGTTAATGATTTAAGTATTTTTTTAAAGATTAGAAAAAAAAACATAATTTTCTTGTTTTGAAGCAAACTTAATCCTTACAATTTGATCTGAATGTTTTTCACATTCAGAGATAAATAAGTCCTTGAAATTGAATTCAGATTTCATTTACCAGTTTAAAAAGAAGAGCTTAAATTTTGTGTATGCAATTTATTAAAAGCCTCCCATTATTATTATGCCATTATTATGCCCTTTATTAAAAGCCTCTCACTATTATTATGTAATTGATTAAAAGCCTCCCATTATTATTATGCCATTTATTAAAAGCTTCCCATTATTAATATTATGCCATTTATTAAAAGCCTCCCATTATCATCATTGTGCCATTTATTAAAAGCATCCCATTATTATTATTATTATGCCATTATTATGCCATTTATTAAAAGCCTTCCATTATTATTATTATGACATTTATTAAAAACCTCACATTATTATTATTATGCCATTATTATGCCATTTATTAAAAGCCTCCCAATATTGATGAGAAGTAAGAAATGACATGTTTTCAGAATATAATGTACTGATGTAATCAGTCAGTTATGTGCCATGCATGATACATGCTTAGCCGAGCATGTATCTTTTGATACATGATGATGAGGCACATTTCTTTCTGCGATAAACCAGTTGCCATCCAAAGTTATAGTACCCAGTCTGTTCTGCTATTTACCCATAGCTGGGGGAGAAGAAGAGCATTCATAACTTTCTCAAGAGTATTAGCACGGAAGTGAATGTAATGGATTTGACTGGAATTTGAACTCAGCTCTCCGATTCCTCAATCCGAGCCACTATCCATTACTCCATCCTGCCTCCTCCAATTCCTCAATCCGAGCCGCTATCCATTACTCCATCGTGACTCCTCCAATTCCACAATCCGAGCCGCTATCCATTACTCCATCGTGCCACCTCCAATTCCTCAATCCGAGCCGCTATCCATTACTCCATCGTGCCTCCTCCAATTCCTCAATCCGAGCCGCTATCCATTACTCCATCCTGCCTCCTCCAATTCCTCAATCCGAGCCGCTATCCATTACTCCATCCTGCCTCCTCAATTCCTCAATCCGAGCCGCTATCCATTAATTCTCCATCCTGCCTCCTCCAATTCCTCAATCCGAGCCGCTATCCATTACTCCATCCTGCCTCCTCCAATTCCTCAATCCGAGCGCTATCCATTACTCCATCGTTCCTCCAATTCCTCAATCCGAGCCGCTATCCATTACTCCATCCTGCCTCCTCCAATTCCTCAATCCGAGCCGCTATCCATTACTCCATCCTGCCTCCTCCAATTCCTCAATCCGAGCGCTATCCATTACTCCATCCTGCCTCCTCCAATTCCTCAATCAGCCGCTATCCATTACTCCATCGTGCCTCCTCCAATTCCTCAATCCGAGCCGCTATCCATTACTCCATCGTGCCCTCCAATTCCTCAATCGAGCCGCTATCCATTACTCCATCGTTACCTCCTCAATTCCTCAATCCGAGCCGCTATCCATTACTCCATCGTGCCTCCTCCAATTCCTCAATCCGAGCCGCTATCCATTACTCCATCGTGCCTCCTCCAATTCCTCAATCCGAGCCGCTATCCATTACTCCATCCTGCCTCCTCCAATTCCACAATCCGAGCCGCTATCCATTACTCCATCGTGCCTCCAATTCCTCAATCCGAATTTCCTATCCATTACTCCATCCTGCCTCCTCCAATTCCACAATCCGAGCCACTATCCATTACTCCATCCTGCCTCCAATTCCACTCCATCCGCCGCTATCCATTACTCCATCCTGCCTCCTCCAATTCCTCAATCCGAATCCATTACTCCATCATTGCCTCCTCCAATTCCTCAATCCGAGCCGCTATCCATTACTCCATCCTGCCTCCTCCAATTCCTCAATCCGAGCCACTATCCATTACTCCATCCTGCCTCCTCCAATTCCTCAATCCGAGCCGCTATCCATTACTC